AGGTCTGTGATAGTGGGGGAGGAGAGCGGACTGGGAAGCCGGCTGTTCAGCCAGCCTTGTTCTGTTCGGGGTGCCAGGATTGCTTCTCTGAGGGGTCAGCGCTGCAACTCTGTCGCCGCGGGGCCTTAGTGACTGGCGCACGCCCCGCCCTTTCTCCTCCCAAGACCTGCGGGCTTTTGTTATGCAGATGGCGGCAGGAGGCTGAGCTGGTGGAGGAGGGAGAGGGGGGAGGAAAGTGCAGCTCGCGCGACCAGCCTCCTCTTCCAACGTCACATTGTGCGAGAGACAAAACCCGGGCGCGCCTGAGCTCACACGCGCACGCACACACGGACGACCCTGTCGCCTCTTCTCTCCTGGCGCTGCCGAGAAAGCCAGCCCTCCCTCCCCTAACTGGGGCACGGAAGCTCAGCAAGCTCAGAGCGCAGCACAGAGCCAACCCAGCAGCCGAAGGAAGCCAGCGCACAAGCCTTCTTTCTCTCCTGCCTGCCCGGCTGAGGCGTCCCATCCCCCGCCCAGAGCCTCGGTCTTTCCCACCCCACCCAACCCCTCTGGGTTTCACCGCGGACAGAGCCCGGGAGCCGGGTGTGCCCCTGTTTGGAATCAAGGTTTCAGCACTTCGGACAGCGCCCGGACGCCCCAGCCCCTTTGGGTTGGCGATGGCGAGCGTTCAGCAAGGCGAGAAGCAGCTTTTTGAGAAGTTCTGGCGAGGAACCTTTAAAGCTGTGGCCACCCCACGTCCTGAGAGCATCATTGTCGCCAGTATCACAGCCCGCAAGCCGCTGCCAAGGTAATGACCTCCTTCTTAAGAAAGGGAATGCCTGTGCCCCAGAGCCCTGAAAGGTGGATGCAGCAGGCAGCTGGGCCAGTCTTTCCCGTCACTACTCGGTATCTCCCGCTGGAACATAGGAACTAATTGATTGTTATGAGGTGGAAGCTGGTGAGAAGGGACGGGGAGTCTATATCTGGGAGCAACATTCAACTGTCTGCTGACCCGGCAGCTCTGAGTCAAGAGGTTTTGCTCGCTTAGGGTGGGTGGCGTAGGTGGGATACGACTTGACTGAGAAACTTTTCTTGGTATCCTAGCGCTCAGAGCATGGGTGTGGGTGTGGGACGGGGGGCGGGGGGAAACGGTAGATTTGAGACGTTTGGGGATGTTGTACAAAACGAGATGATGAGGGTTGAACCAGCTCAAACAGTGTTCTATACTCAGCTCCGAAACTAGCGAGCTCTGAACGTTTTGACAAAAGCCCATATGCTGTTCCCTCAAATACACCCTAAACAGCACCCTCCTCCATGCGTTTCTGGCTGCTGTTGCTTGCTGCTGAATTCTCTCCTCACCAGCGTCCAAAACGGGGACTCGGAGCTCGAGAGTCAGGGAGGAGCCTTCCAAGATCACAAAGGCGATCTTGGAAGTTGTCTTGGGTGTTTCCCAAAGGATCCGATTGCTTTGCTCTCAGGCATAAGAAGAGATGCTTACATGGTGGTGGGGAAAGTGTGATGGGGGGTGGGAGAGTGGCAGAGAATAGGGAAGAAATGAAAGAAAGGCAGAAAGAGGGAGAAGAGGGTGTGGGGTGAAGCGAAGAGAAGGCTGAGCCACACAGAAGCATTCCAAGACACAGAAAACCCAATTCGTTTCCTAAATCGTGTAATTTAGAGGAGTTTGAGAATGAGAGGAAGACATCCGTGCCCTCTGTCAGGGAAAATGAAGGCAGTATGAAAGCTCATCTTTTGCTGGTGTTGGATGAGTGGTTTGGTGGGAGAAAAAAAAAACAGAAAAGTGGTCCAGGGAAGACCACTGGGAGTATTTATTAATCCTGGCAGGCTACATTAAGGGAGTAGATTGAAAACATGTCTGGGAAAGTGCTTCAGACAGAATGGCTGTGCTGGTAACTTTCCCATGGGTGCGGGGTGGAGGACTGATGGGGGATCATACCTAAAACCCAACTCAGGCTGAAGAACTTTACGTGGTGTGATTGGGACCTGCCTCGTCCATGTCTTTAGAAAAATGGATGCCCCACGTTGAGAATGGGCCGACCGACTAGAAACATGATGGGCCAGCAGGATGTGGCAGGCTGCAAGCAGCCGCTGCCGCCAGGATTTGTGGCTGGGAGGGAGGGGACACCCTGTGACACAGGCCGGAGAAGGGGAACGACAATACCAAATGCCATCAAAGCTGATGTTTCGCTGCTTGGAAAGGAGGCTCTTGGTAGAGAGTTTTGACGTCAGCGGTTTTATCTTCCTGGGTTTCTGCCATCCATTCCACCTTTGGATGCACCTCCTGTTGGCACATCCGATGCTGTGTTGGCCAGAAAATATGCCCTTGTGGGAGGGACTAGAGGGAATTTCACTGGAAACTAGTGTGGCGTTAGGTAGGGAGTCTCCCATGTATTTCAGGGGTGCAGGGGAGAGGAGAGCAGACTCCTGGTGGTATTTTAACTCAGAAAAGCTGCCTAAGGTCCACCTGGCTTGCTGCTACCTTCACTCTTTGCCTGTCAGTCAATTACTGTCATGCCCTTTTCTTGGTCAAATAAATTGCCCACGAGCTCTCCAGACTCTCTTGCTTTCTGTATCTTTGTGCAAATCGGAATTTCCTCCATCTGAGACTCTTAACAATAGTATAGCCAATCCCCACGTAGGTATCATTTCACTCCTGGGATCTTTGAATGGGCTGGGTCTCCTTCTCCCCGGGAACCACGCCTGGGGTGCAAGTCTGAGCCATAAGCCCCTAATGTATGGCATGCTGGGAGGGCTGTCTTCAATACTTCTGTAACAGGTGTGGCCTCTCTGTGGCACAGATTGCAGTTTTCTAGCTGTTACTCCTGGTTTGGGGCAGCGAGTGAGCAGGGAGCATTTGTATTCAAGCTTTCAGGAAAGGCTGGGTTTGAGTTTTGTCTTTTCACAGACTGTCTATAAAACTTGAACCATCCCCATGGTCACCCAAGGCAGCCACGTCTAGCGATGGTCAATTTCCACCTCCTTTTTAATGTCCTATGTTTACTTAAGGGTGGAAGTACCATGTTTCTAAAGCAGCATGCTTAGGAAGGAAAAGGACAGGGCATCATCGCATCAGCTTGGCCCCAGCGGCTTCCTCTAGAGGCGACCTGGGGACTTGGTCTCATCAGAAATCTTGTTTAGCTCCGTGAGTCAAGGCCAGCTCACAGTCAGCCCATCTGCCCAAGTAGCTGTCTGCAGGGAGAGGGGGGAGGGGGCGGATGAACCACCAGCCACTTTTGTTGGTAACACACTTAGTATTTGTTTACAGAGGAGGGCTATGCCCTGAATGAACTCCCCCGGGATATTTTAAGTCTATCTCTGAAGATAACTCAGTACCGGGAGAGAAGCTTATATTCAATTCGTTGATTTCATAGCAATACGCATGCATCATACAACAGCTCTCTAAGCCAGGCATCCCCTAGCCACCACCCCCCTTCCTCTCTGTGAGGCATATTTGATGAGGCAATAGCTTTATCATGTATCAAATTGCAAGCAGATGTCTGACTCAAATGTCAGAACAGTATAGCAGAGTGGGAGGCAGCATATCAGAGCAATGAAGAGCTCCGACTTGAGCTGCAGACTAACCATCTAGCTGAGTGTCCTAGACAAACTGGCTCTACCTTGCTGAGCCCATTTAGTCAGCTGGAAAATAGAAATAGTCACCATCTCGGGCAGTGAGTGAGTTCTGAGGACTGAGTCAGGCAAAGTCCTTCCCATGTGTGGGGCATAGCGATTGTTTATTAGACATTGCCTCTGAAACAGACAGCTCAGATCTTCGATGGCCAAAGGAAACCGACAATTCCTTTTGGTATTGTGTCCTTCGTGCCCACCCATGTCACCCCCCAGTCAGGCTGACTGTAAAAATTGTGGGATTGCAACTCCTGATAGTCAACTACTTTGAGATGGAATTAACACACAGGAAGTGGGGTGGGAGTGTTCCCATCATTCCCCTCCTTGAGTGAAGGTGAGCTGCTTTCTGATCTGACTCTTTTCAGTTGCGGGGGCGTGGTGGTGGTGGGGTGGCTGGTGAAGAATCACCTGGGTTCAGAATGGGTGGGTACAACATCCTTATGGGGTATTCTTTTGGTGCATGTAGGAATAGGCAGGTAATACCAGTCTAGAGAAGGCCCAAACTCCTTGAAAATCACAATTTCAATCCCTTGTTCCATTCAAATCTAGACTGACTGTATAATTTATGGTTCCCATAAAGAGTGAAAGGGGTTGCTGTGAGTAGTTATTCCAGGATGGGAGATCTTACAGGGACTGTGCCAGGCACACCAGGCTGTAAGGCCACCGTGGTGAGACCTCACCCTCTACCAGCTGGAAGAGAGACGGCATGAATCAATCATATACTTGGAGTCTAAGAGACCTCCCCCTCTTGGGTCCCCACCAAACAAGTACAGCCATTTTCCCTGGCGTTAATTAATTCTTTGTTAATCGCTTAGTCCAGAAAGTTTGTACCTGAGAAGTTTAGGCTCCATGTGGAAAGCCTAGGGTTTGAGGCCAGTTCAAACTGTAATGTTATCATCATATAGGCGAATAGTAGATGAGGACTTCACAAACGTCTGAAAATCATTTGTAATTAGCATATATCCATTGTTGGTGGACATATGCACGTTAGTAAAGTGCTGGAGAGGCCAACCCCTTCAAGTAGAATAAACAGTCCCTTTACAAGTCTCTTGGAAAACTATCAGTTGCCTTCGAAAATCATTTGTATGTAGAATAGCCCAGAAGCAGACTTCAGCCCAGGCCCTGTCCAAAGCATCATAAATCCCAAACTGTGGAAGATTTTACTGCATAAAGGGAAAGATGGCCAAATTGCAAGTCAGGAGAAATGCCTTTGAACCATTGAATCCAAGACGCCCCTTTGTGCCAAGGGATCAGGGGAGCGCATTTGTGCTGACTCTGTCCTGGCAACGGAGGAGTGAGGGGCTGTTGGCAGGTGATTTCCCAGCAGCCTGTGGGTAAGAGCCAATGGACCGAGGGTCACGCGCACACCGGCCCTGGCTATGAGTGAACGCTTTCCTCTGGGAAGGGCGTGTTACTGTTTGGGTCCAACCTGTCTCCTCCTGCAAGGTGACATTTGTTGAATGGTGCACAGGGGCCAGTGGGGGATCGCGTCTGACACTGCTGTGTCACGGGGCCACCGCGCTATCTAAAAGACCCAGGCTGCGGTAGATGGTCAATGAAAGTTGGATGCATTCATTAGATGAATGCACCTGGTCTAAATCCAGCCTCAGATGAGCTCTCTTCCCACGCCACCCCCAGTCCGGACACACCGGGGATTCTGATCAATGCAGTCCAAGAGACACACACAGCAAATAGATCTGACTCTCGCTAGTATCAGGATGAAGCTCCCTGGCTACAGACGTCTGGCTGTCGGGGCGAGTAGACATGTCAGCTGGTTTAGGGGCAGGAGGGTGGACCTCCTGGACCACCTGGAAGGGCTTTCCAGGCCTGTGGGTCTCCATGAACTCCACCCCGACTCCAAGCAACCAAGAAGGGGGAAACATTCCTAAAAGCTTAACTCCTCTAATAAGGAAAGGAGCCTGAGTCGTGGGCTCCTTTCAGCAGCTCAGGCTCACTGCAGGGGCACAATACGTTTAAAAACCTTTCTTCCAGAGAGGCTGTATTTACTTGTCTGTGAGGTGGAAGGATTCGCAGGGGCTTACTTGCTTGTTACGAAGACTTCCTCTGAGGGGTGAGAGAATATTTCTGAGGTGGAGACAGCAGAATGGTTAAGAGCTTGGGCTCTGAAGTCGGATCTACCCAGGCTGAAGTTCTGCTTTGGGG